TTAATAGACGCCCATCGTGGATTCAAAAGGACATTTTCACACTGTTGAGCCATGCTCCTCCTGTAGCTTTATCCCATGTAAGAAGAAACCTTTTCCCCAATGTTATTCTCAACCAAAGGACACTTTGCTAAAGGTGTCAGATAAAAGAACTGAAGGACGTTTTGGAGATTTGGAGTTTTATGAACTGAGCCTCTTGGATTTTACTTCTTACTTCCATATGTGAGAGAATCTTTTAAAAGTCCGACAAGCTTCCAAAAGTGTCAGTATTTTGTTGGACTTTGGTGACCTTTTTTTTTTTCTAAATGAAAATTGGGCGTGTGCTGTCAAACATAAGCCAAATAAAAGTGGAGGCAAAACATTTTCGGTCTTGATGCTGATTAAGCATAACTAACTCAGTTTTTTAGCAACTCTGCCCACAGAGTGGACAGTGGCAGTCGACGGTCTCAGAGGTTGTATGGGGGGAAAAAAGTGATTGATTCATTTAAGGTAAGCCCAACATAAAAGTCAAACACACAAAAGGTCAACAATAGAAACAGAACCCCTTAACACCAGATAGGTGATGCTAGTAAGTGTGGAGGACGGAGGTTGATAGAATGAAACCTAAACTTAAGAAGTAGAAATATCTAGATGGCCCCAAAAAAAAATGATTCACCAAAAATGTACCAGTTCATTTGTATATCTTTGCACCTTTTAGTTGACCTAAAGCAGAGAAGCTGATTCCCTAAAAAACTTGGATGACTCACCTTTAAAAAAAAAAAAAGGAAACATAGAAATAAATATATGAAGAGGCGGAAATTAAAAGGCTTGTGGAAAAAGTTAGAACATTTTCAGGGAAGTTTAAAAAACATATACGCATCCACAAATAAAAGAAAACATTAAAACCATCAAATGCAAAGAAAATGTGTCAATTAGGTTATAAAACCTACGGTAAAGTTAATAAATGGGATTTTTTCATAGCTAACACATGTTACTATATTTGGAAGTAACAATAGAAATATAGATTTCTCAGTGATTACATTCTGTACATTAACTTGGATATTTTTAGGTATATCTGTTTATTCATTGTACAGTTTAGATATTTCTGTTTAATGCTGTCAGTTTCAATCCTCTATAAATAACCATCCAGCATTAAAACGGAACAATCATCTGGTCCTATTAGGTTTTAAAATGAGGAGCATACAACCTCAAACAAGTAACAGCCCATGACATTTTGCCCTGTATCCTTGTTTGTTGAACTAAAAATAGGTTTGATTGGATACAACCCATTATTTGGCTGCTTTTAGAACCACTATTAGCAGTAATAGCCTCAGGTGGTAATTTTCTGCATGAGAATACCAGTCCTTCACATCACTTTATGACACTCCTTTTGACAACAGGTGGAAATGATGAGAAGAATCTCAAATCAAATCATTAAATACCTAAATACATGCTTTTAGAATAGGGTGAGGTTATAAAAAATGGGTAAGAAAAAAAAGCGTTTGGCATGTTGGAAGTGAACTTCTAGGAATCCACTGGATTTCTACAGATGTGCTTCCCTGCTGCTGCAGGGGCTACGTCACTGTCACCACCACCTCTCGCACCACCTGCAGAATAACCAATATGGTAAGGAATAAGTTATTACATTACCTTCAAGAAAAATTAAACTGTCCTGGTTCCCGAATGAGCAAATGCTATTCACTCCAGCTGAATCGCCAGCCTACCGATGCCTGGATGTTTCAAAAGATGCTTTTCTAAATGACTTTTTTTATTTTCTTTGCATTGCTTCAGGTTTCCTTGAAGAAAAACAATGGATCACTGCCATAAATCTCTGTTTTTCTGGAACGATTTGAACAGAGCTTCTGCGTTGTCGCCCCGTGGGCCTTACGCCTCCAATACTCCAGGAGTTGTCCACACACAGTGGTGTATGGCAGAAAATAGCTGGTAATGCACTTTGTGTTAGTGCTTCATCTTTTATGTAAAAGACATAAAGTACGAGGGTGCAAAGTAATGGTTCACTTTGCGACTCAAACAATCCGGATGGCTAATATAAGCACTTAAGGTAAGAGCTCACATACAATCCCCTTCTAGTAACCAGTGTAGGTAGAATTTTCTAGGTAATCATTCTTCCCCAACATGAGTCGCACAATCAAGACATCCTATTGTCATCGCCGCATTAAAGTGTATAAAAGACACTTTCAAGTAAATTTCAATAAGAAAGTCATTTTAGTACACAAACCACAATTGTCCTACCCATTTCACTTAGCGATTAACATTCAGGAAAGACGTCCTCTCTCTACAGGTAGCTTTTACACGTGTCTGGTCCAGACATTACATAAATAATGTTTTGAAGCTATTTCAGGTCCAGGTGCATTTTAAAAGCATTTTTCTTACGTGGGCTTGAGAGTTTTCACCTTTCTGGGGAAGTGTCTTGTACGCTATAAGGGTTTGTTTTTCTTCCAGATTTATAAACTGAGTGATATTTGTCACCATTTCAGCAGAACTATGTTAGGCAATGTGCTTATTCTGCTAGAGCAGCATGGTGTTGTGGTAAGATAAAGGTCCAGGTTGGTGTGAGTGGTGTTTGTTCTCGTGTGCTCGACTCTTCGAAACCATATTTCGGCGCCCGGCGTGCGTCTGCCTTTTAGGAGCCGCCAGCCAGAAGTCGCATTTCTTCTTCTTCTGCCTCACTCGTTTGGCCGTGGGCAGCACTTCCTTGCGGCGTGGTTACTTATGGGCAGCCCACTGTTCTTGCTTTCCTCCTCCTCCTCACCATCGCTCAGATTCACACAAGGCGAAAATGACTATGTGCTTTGGTTTCATGTTCTCTTTATTTTTCATGGCTCTGGGAACAAAAGTAAGGGTCAATAATAGCCAGACACTAGAAAAATAAAAATGAAAAAAAAATAATAGCCGAGCAGAACTGTTAACTCTCTGTTTCTCTTTTCCAACACAGACTTCTTCTCCACTGCTATTGTTATTCTCAGATATCGACTGTGTGCTTAACTCCTGTCTGTTATTTAAAAAAAATAGTTTCTTGCTTTGCACTCAACTCAAAAAACATGCATTCTTTGCAGAAACTGGGTCATGAATGCTACGGGTAGCTGCACACGAAGACCCAAAGGCTCGGCGCCACCCCCCCCATTTCCAGTTTTTGATAACCCGAGAAGGATGCGTGAGGGGAAAAACAACTTGGCTTACTGAGGGGTTCTGGGGACACAGACAAATGCTGCTTGTTGTAATGGGTTTGGGGCCCGGGCACACTTAGGACACGAGCCACGCTGTTTACACACTGAAAGGCTTTTGGAGGTCCCTACAGATGGACTCAGGTTCATCTAAGGTTTGATCTTAGACAAACATCTCCTATTTCTCACAACCGACAAGTCATCTGCCAGCATTGTGACCTTTGTCTCTCCCTAGAGTTTTTCCTCGTTGTCAAACTGCCACCCGGGAGCCCAGAGGACGTCTGAATTTGGATCCGAGCACCGTGTTTGCGCCGCCTATCTGTGCCCAGAATTGGATACGCGCGCGGCCCTCTCCTCCTCCAGACCGCCCGGTGACTCACCGTTTGGCCCTCATGCATACATTTAAAAGCCGAGGGCTGTCAGATGTTCCTACCAGCTTTCCGTCCAAATTCCCAGATCGCCGGCTAAAGAGAATGCAAATGACGGCGTGTTCCCCCGTCTGCTGCTTAATATGAAGAGTTGACCAGGTTTGAGTAAGGACAAAACAAAAAAAAAAGCAGCGTTCCCATTTGAGCTCTGAATAGGGTTATGTGCCTTATGTGAGAATACAATTGGAAACCATTTCCAAAGAAGAGCTTTGGAATGTCCCCCATGAAGAAAAAAACTACTCCTGATAACTACTAAAAGAAAATGACCAATGCAAATGTTCATTCAAGTTGTAAAAAACAATGAAAATGCTTGATTGCTCAAGACCTTTTCCCATTTCCCTTCTGAGAGACAGCCTGTACTCACATTCCGCTGCGTGCGAATGATGCTCCATTCGTCACAGCTGACCTTTTGATAGGCTCTGGATCTCACTAACTATCCCACTAACCCCGTTCTGTCCACCACGTGTCCATCCAGATCAAACCGCCAGTGACGGGGGGTGACCGCTGGACATTTTTTATTTCCACTCAGCCTCTTCCAGACATGTCCAACAGATCCCAAAGGAAAGCAGCTTCACCTTCCTTGGAACTCTTCTGACAAGGCGTGCAAACCACCAAGCATCCACCAACTCCCTCTCTGAGGTTAGTCAGGCCGGCCTCGCGCTGATGGGCTCGTCTTAGAGCGCCCTCTATTGGCAGCTTTTCGCAACTGCAGCTTTCAACCTCGCTTTTCTGCAGAGTCACTGGAAACTTGCAGGAATAAATATCTTTAGATGAGACAGTGGGGAGCATAAACAACCCCGTATCTTTAGGGACGTGGTTGCAAATTTATTATGATTATGTTGCTTTTTATTTATTTATTCCCTGTCTGCAAGCGCGGGGACAGCCTGTGCAGGGTTTTTATTTGCAAACATAAGCGCATGGTTTTATTTGCTCATATAAGTCTTAAACTCCTAATGATCCTGCAAAACCGACTTTTTCCAGTTTGGGGGAGGGGAGCTCATATCCGCTGTGTGTTTGGATAATATGGGGATAATATGTATCTAAGGTTTTCAACATCCAGCTCCGGAAGAAGCGTCAATAATTAACTCGGTATGATTCCATCCAAGTTGCGCTTTTTTTTTTTTTTTTTGCTGTTACGCATTCAACTAGTTATCTCTGAGAAAAAATGTTGATTGTGTTCTGTTTTTATTTTATTTTCGTTGGGAAGATCTGGTCGTTTCCCAACACTTTCGTCTCGTCCCGGTCTGAAATAACAACACTGACGCACCAGTGGGAGTTCGCTCCGCTTTTCGCCGCTTTTTCGGAGCGCGGCGTGAACCTACTCACAGAGCCGTGACGCGCGCGGGGGGGGGAGGGGTCCGCCGCGCGCTTAAATACGCGCGCCTCAGCCCGTAGTTCTCACAGAAAACTCGCTCGCACAGACCCGATCGCACGCCTTTTATTTTTACGCACAGAGGAATAAGCATGATCAAGAAAATGACGCCGTCCGAGAGCGATTTTGACATCCCGGCTAAGAACTGCTACAGGATGGTGATTTTGGGCTCCACGAAAGTCGGAAAGACCGCCATCGTGTCCCGGTTCCTGAACGGCCGGTTCGAGGAGCAGTACACGCCGACCATCGAGGACTTTCACAGGAAACTGTACAGCATCAAGGGAGACGTTTACCAGCTGGACATTCTGGATACATCGGGGAACCACCCTTTCCCGGCCATGAGGAGGCTTTCTATACTGACAGGTATTTATCATGCAATCATGTTGGCAAATTAAATTGAACGCGTTGCAAAAAAAAAGAAAAAGTGCACCTGCAGCGCACGGCTGCAGGACGCAACGATGTTCGCTCTTCTATTTTGTTCTGATGCACATAAAAAGTTCATTTTTAACTCATGCAATGCTCAGAGAGTTAACCGATTTCTCCTTCTCTTTCCCTCCAGGCGACGTTTTCATCCTCGTCTTCAGTTTGGACAACCGGGACTCCTTCCAGGAGGTCCAGCGGCTCAAGCGGCAGATATACGAGACCAAGTCGTGCCTGAAAAACAAGATCAAAGAGAACATCGACGTGCCTCTGGTCATCTGCGGCAACAAGGGCGACAGGGAGTTCCACCGGGAGGTGCAGCAGGAGGAGATCGAGCAGCTGGTGGCCGGAGACGACCAGTGCGCCTACTTCGAAATCTCCGCCAAGCGCAACGAGAACGTGGATAAGATGTTCCAGACTCTGTTCGCGCTGGCCAAGCTGCCGCACGAGATGAGCCCCGACCTCCACCGGAAGGTGTCCGTGCAGTACTGCGACATGCTGCACCGCAAGTCGCTGAAGAACAAGAAGCTGAAGGACATCGGGGAGGCGTACGGCGTGGTGACGCCGTGCGCCCGGAGACCGAGCGTGCACAGCGACCTCATGTACATCAAGGAGAAGGCCATCGGCGGCGGGCAGGGCAAAGACAAAGAGAGGTGCGTGATCAGCTAAAGCGGACCCGCGAAGGAACAGACTAGACAAGAATCTTTGAAGCTTGAAGCCTCAGTTTGAGGGGGCGACCCGCGCGGCCGGAATGCGCTCAGGCTCCCGGCGTGATGTTTGGAGACGCCGATGGCGCGCGAGCGCGCTCTTTACGCAGCAAGGACACTGACTGGACACCCCAAGTCCACTTTCACCGACTGCCCGCAAGACATTTGAGAACGTCCGCTCGTTCCGTCAGTCAGAGCCCAGTGTGTGACGTGGCTTCATCGCTTGTGAGACTCGCGCACCGAAGCGTAAAAATGTGTTCTGTCCACGCTTTGACTTTTGAAGAAAAAAAAAAGAGACAGTTGGCCCAGGAGGTGCAACGTTAGCTGACAAATGTTTACATTTTAGCCTAGGTTTTATATCACTACTAAGTACACTTGAATGTTTTTTTGCTGTAATAATTATTTTTATTGCAAATGTATTATTTATTGCCAGTGTCATTTTGTTCTCTTCTTTTTTTTTGCAATGAAGAAAATCTCAAAATGAAATAAAAAATATCAAAATCTAACAGTATTTTCTCTGCAAAGTGTTTTCATTTCTTCCACTGGTGTCCTCAAGTCCCAAGCTGCCAACACATGAAGACCTTATTGCCAAAGTGTGCACTGTTGTGTTGGCATAAAACAGCCTGATTTTCAGGAATATTTTTAGTTTTCTCAGTTATTGTGTTTGTGCACTGGACCAGATCCCCCCCCCCCCTTCTTTCCAAAAAAAAAGATAAACATCTTCCAAAAAGCTTTCAGTCTGCTAAATTAGGCACTCATTAAGTTAAGATATGTCCACAGTACCTTAAAACAAACTGAAACAATGCTCGTAAAATAAGGAGAACATTGCCCTGGTAAATGGGCTTCATTGTCCCTAAAGAGCACTGCTTTCTGGGCTGTTTAAACATGAGAACGATCCCATCTCCTGTTTAGATAACCTGGATGTAACTTGGAATTAAAAGTCAGATCTATTTGCTCCATGGTGACTCTAGGATCTGCCATAAATCTGAGCTTTTATTAATGTAACTGACAAAATAGGTGGAAATCAACTCAAGAATCCTAAAAATCCTTCAAAATCTCACACATCACCTACAGAAACAACTGTTGACTTTTTCACCAGATATGATGGATTGAGTTGGCTGGTGACATCCTCAATATATCTTTTTTTTCTTTTTTTTGGTTGCCTAAATATACTATTGATACTAATTACATGTTTACAGAAAAGCTGGAAAGTGTTCTAAAGTGTAGTGAAAACAAATAAAAGTAACTGCCCCGTCTTCACAGACCTCTATCGTAGTTTGTGGAGTAAATTAGTTAATTCAAACTCTGATGCCACATACGAAGACCATGCTTGTTGTCGATTCATGCAAGTAGAAGATGCACGGGAGAAAGGCGAGGGTGTCATGATTGGCTATAAAAAAGGGATCACCTAAATGTTCGAGGGTATCTGTCTGCCTTTTTTTAGCACTCATATTGATATAGTGAATGTAAAAAGGCTAACAATGCAAAGTGTCTGAAGATAATGCTATGCATTGATTAACTGCCTATTGGTTGAAAGGGACAGGGAACAACAACTTGTGTAGTCAAGAAAAGGAAGCAAAGTTTTTTTTAAAACTAGAAATAGCCAATAGGAAAGTCAGATGCAAAGACCGCAGATTCACTAGACTATTCTATCAAATCGTAGTCTGTTTTCTCCTTCCACAGAAAGGTAAAGCTACAGGACCAGCAACTTAGAGCAGAGCTAAGAATAAAACATGGAGAACCTACAAAAAATTACAATATATTCAAGCAAATCCATGCCATGGCTCACTGCTTTGGGCCAAATACTTTGTCCTAAAATCAGTTCCAAAACCTTTTTGTCAGTTCAAATTTTGCAAAGAGCTTTGGTCTGTCTCCATCCACTGCGTGAGTTAGAGGGAAACTGGGCTTCCATGAAGAAAATATTCTTTCTTGGTTATTTCGTCAGGTTTTGCGTGGCTCAAGCAGGAAGGCCTCAAAAACACTATACGTGTGTGTGTTCAGCTGGCCTGCCTGCAGTTTCTTTCTGTTGCCTAATAAAACTTTATGACACATTAGAGGCAACAACAGCCACAGACTGCTGAGCAGATGTAGGACAAATCCACAAAGATTCTCCACCTCAACCTTTTGTTTGTTTTGTGTGTGTTTTTTTGTTTCTTAAAATTTCAAAACTCTTCCTATATTCCAAATTCTTAGAATCATTTCCAAATTCCGATTTTCAGATTACATCTGTAAAAGGAAGACTACATTTATAACACCCCACTCATATTGTGTAGGTTTGTAGGAATTGTTAATTAATTAAGAGTTCAGGTTAAGATTTTGGTTGTAACGTTTTCATTCTTTTTCCACATTTTCGGCCCCAGCTGAAGCCTCTTAAGCGTGTGGTTTGCTTTTGGCCTTGTTTTTTGATTCCTGCATTGTTTGCACCTGCTGCCGGAGTTCCAGTAGACGAAGCAGAGACACGGCGTTCAGTCTTTTCTTTGTGTGTGACGTGCTTTCGTCTCCCTATCAGCAGCATTCCTCTGTCCCGTATCCTGTGAAAGTCTCAGGGAGGCAAAGACGGAGTGTTTTGCCTTTCTTCAGTGTCAGTTTTAGAGGGAGAGTGTGGAAAAAGTCACCGACTCACAGGGGAGCGCTGTAAACAGACCCTCCGACCACACAGGAACACTGTGAGCGACAAAGCTACGAAAATACACAATCACAGTGGACACATTTGTTTTCTTTTTTCGTCCTGATAAAGCTGGCTCTCAGAACTAAAATTTGAGAGATAGGACATGCGTGTTTAGACACCAACGTTCATTATCACTGATATATTCTCTTTTTCAACCTTAAGCTAGAGAAAATGAATGTGTTTTGACTACAATTTGAGTGAATGAAAAACCTCTCTGCTCAGATTTGAGCTAAATTAATACACACAAGTGGTGCATCTTACCAATTTTAAGAGCTTCCTATTGAATTCCTATTTCCAGCACAGCCGGGCGAGGTTAACGCTATCAGCCTTACACACGTCACCACAGACGCACGGGACGATGGAGACTGATGGAGGCTGAATTAGCTTTATTGGTGATTAATGATACAGTGAAGGCCTTTGATGAACTGGTCATATCTGACCTTAAATGTGTTACAGAATGTTTGAAAACATCAGCAAGTCATCCAGAGAGATGAGAAGGTCTTCCTCACACAGCGATGCCGTCACTGCTGAAGAATTTTAGACAGAAAGTTCAAATGTTAAAAAGGAATCTTAAAAAAGATATATTCCACATTTGACTTGAATGCAACTGGGAAGAACAAATGCATAGGGCTCTCTTCCTCAGGGATAGATATTTTACTTCCATGACATCCATTGGTTTGATAACACTCTGCACATGAAGGTTCAGTACGGGACAAACGAGGACTACATGAGAAATACACATTTATCGAGCCAAAAGGAGCATTTCCCAGTTTCAGTTTCTCACCTGTCTTTAGCCACAGTTAAATTAACCAATTTACTCAAAGTGCGGACTTTTGATTTTCATAATTTTCATACTGTTGAGACAGGGCAAAAAAGAGAATAGGAAAGCAAATCTGATCAAAGTAATCATTACATTAGATTTGCTCGTTACATCACTGTCCGCAAACACCAAAGTGAAGCGGGAATTAGAAGGCTTCAGGCTTCAATATTCTTGTGCTAGTAGTGCCTGCAGTTAAAAGGCATATGGTGAGGTTAAACACCCCCTCTGAGCTGGAGGGCTTTGCAAATCAGGAAAAGAACTGCAGCCTGGCCTTTGTCGGGTCTTAAAATAAGGTTGACACAATGACATGCGTATGACATAAAACAATGTGTCACCATGCATTTAACAAAAAGCAAGCCAGACTGTGAAGATGGTGCGTGAGGAACCCGTGATTCAGTTCCCCGCGGTGGCACCTCGATGTAATCGTTTCCGGCACGACGTCATCGGTGTCTCACCTTGTTTGTGGAGGAATTTAAGCCTTTACATTGTTGGGAGGGGATTATCGGTTGATTGTTATTACATCACAACAGGTCTTAAGATGGGATCCTTTGGTTGCTTGTGTGCCGGAGAACAAGTGCCATGGATGGTTGGATATAGGCTAAAAATATCCCTCGGAGCTTTGATAAGAATGTCACAGCTGGTAAAAATCTGTCTGTGCTGCATCTACGACTTGATTGGCGCTCGATGAATAATGTCAACAGTGGCTTGATTGTACTGCATAATGTAAAATGGTTGGTGTGTGTGTGTGTGGGGGGGGCTCTCTTGTATTTGGTTATCAAACTGGAAGATTACAAGTCACTTTGTCATCAAGCAGTAATCAAATAATTTCTCCAGAACATTCGCATAATCTTTTGAGGCCTCTGCGTCACAAGAAAAGTTACGCAACTGTCGGTTATGAGGGCACTGGTACATAAACTGGGATTTTATCGATTTATTTACCTTTTTGTTGTGGTTGCAGAAAGCAAACGTGGCCCTGGGATATTTGCAGAAACTGGAATGAACTTTTTCTTTTCAGTTTTTCCTGTTCGTAGCAGCACTGAACAGTCCACTGGCTCCCACACTAAAACACACCACTCCATTCCTAAAATGACTGACTGGTACTTAGATGAGTAGCCCGGTCTGCAGCAAGGTCTGCCTTAATCCGTCATGTATTCATGTCTCTGAGGAGTCCATCTGACATGGCTCAAACACGCTAAGGCCAACCGGATAGTGGGGAAACCGGGGTCAGACTGATGAGAAATACCTGGTCGCCCTTTTTTCTTTTTTTCTTTAACAGCACAAGCCAGAACATAAGATCCTTGTGTGGAAAAGCTCAAAGTGCAGAAATTCAGATCATGGTCACCAAAGCATTCAGTTAATCATCTTTCAGGATTTCTTTTCAGACCACCAGAAAGCTTAACTTAACTAAACATGTTCAGAAGGCCAGAAGAAGAAAAGAAGATATGCCATGAAGAAATGGCTTGGAATCACTTGAGTAAGCCATGTTAATAAGAATTTGTCCTCTAATGATGTGTACTTTGCTAACCTCAACTAGATATTTCAACGGTTATGACCCAACCGTGACCAGTCACTTGCAATCCGAATACCATCCAAAACCTTTCAACACCTCACCTTAACCAGGTGTAAACAACATAGGTGTTTAAATGTATTTCAGCTGTCAGTAATGTGTTTAATCACAATTGTTTAAAGTTGATGATTAATCTGTACGTGTGCATTTAAAGCAGGTCTGAAAAATGACTAATTCTGATCGGCTTGATCTTTTCTTTCGTGCAGGTAAACTCTAAACAAGAAAAATGCCCTCTGGAACTGAATTCAACTAATCCTACCATTTAGTATATATGTGCATCCAATGGCAGGGCCAGTGGGAATCGCTTTTTGGTGTGTGCAGAACGTGATCACCTCTTGTTTAGTGGGTTTCCTTTCAGCTGCAGCCATCCGCATCCACATCCACAAAGGGCACGCGCTCACACCGCCCCTGACCGGTGTGTGAGTTACACACAGGAAGTCATTTGTGGTTA